AGCTAACGGTGAATAACGAATCTGATGGAGCCTACGATGCAAACTCCAAGGATGGAACGGGCGGCAGTGCTGGCGGTGCTGGTTACCGCAAGACCTGGAACGCCAAGTACACGCTTCGCTCACACTTTGACGGAGTGCGTTCACTTATTTTTCACCCTGAGGAGCCGGTGCTGATTACCGCCTCCGAGGATCACACATTGAAGCTTTGGAATCTGCAAAAAACGGTGCAGGCTAAGAAGTCAGCCAGCTTGGATGTGGAGCCGTTGTATACTTTCCGGGCCCACACGGGTCCCGTTCTGTGCCTGGGAATGTCTTCCAGCGGGGAGACGTGCTACTCGGGCGGCCTGGACGGCAACATCGAGTGCTGGCAGTTGCCGTCGCCGAACATCGATCCGTACGATTGCTACGATCCGAACGTGCACTCCGGCACGCTCGAGGGGCACACGGACGCCGTGTGGGGCCTTACCACCATGCAGAGCAACATTGTGTCATGCTCGGCGGACGGAACGGTTAAACTGTGGTCGCCCTACAACAAAGAACCGCTGCTGCGCACCTACACGGCCTCCGAGGCTGAGGGTGCGCCCTCCTCAGTGGACTTTGTGCGCAACGAGGTGGACCACATTGTGGTTGCGTATAACAGTGCCCACTGCATTGTGTACGACACGGAGACGGGCAAGCAGGTGGTGCGGCTGGAGGCGGCGCAGGAGATGTCCGGCAACACGGGGAAGTTTATTAACAAGGTGGTGTCGCACCCTACGCTCCCCATCACGATCACCGCGCACGAGGACCGTCACATCCGCTTCTGGGACAATACCTCCGGCACACTGGTACACTCGATGGTGGCGCATTTAGAGCCGGTCACCTCGCTGGCCGTTGATGCACATGGTCTGTATTTGCTTTCTGGCTCGCACGACTGCTCGATACGGCTGTGGAACCTGGACAATAAGACGTGCGTGCAGGAGATCACGGCACACCGTAAGAAGTTCGACGAAAGCATATTCGATGTGGCTTTTCATGCCACTAAGCCGTACATCGCTAGTGCCGGGGCCGACGGCCTCGCCAAGGTGTTTGTCTAAGAAAGACCACACCCTCCCTGGCCACGTCGGATCGAACGAATTCAGAATTCGGTATCCAGAGTGCAGAAGCAGATGCCACAGCCAGCAGCTCACAGCTAAGCGATTGCGAGTTCGAGTTAAATATTTATACATACATTATAAATATACTATACATTTAAATTTAATTATACTTCAACCGAGAAGAACAACCAATTACGCATACAACAATAAGAGAGAAAAGAAACCACAAACAAAAACCAACATTAAAAACAAATGCTATAAAGTAACAAAAATAAATTTAAAATGTGAAACGGCATTTCGAGAAGAGCAACAGAGTCAAGTAACAGACGAGAGTCGCGTAATCTAGGAACGTAATTCTAAAGCAATGCATAATACGGCATATAACCACAACTAAGTGCAACACAAACATTATGTATTTGTTATAAATAACACCCTAGCAATGAAAGAGTTTGATCTTGTTGTGAATCTCCCAGAGTAGGGAATCAACTCAAGATCGACGCTCTTCGGTTTTAGTCTTAATAGCACTTGCACAGCGATTGTTCGATTACACGAGTTTGCCTATAAATCAGTCGGACTTCCTGTACATTTTATATACATACAAAAAAACACATACTTATTCTACGCCCATGGCAAAACTTGAAAATGGATCGTCTGCCCTCATATATTCATAGGCACTCTCGCTGTGCAAGTGCCAGGACACGTTTCCTTCCCTGCAGAGCGAATAAGTGCGTCCTGCAGTTGGAGGAAAGTGTGGTGAAACATTTACGTAACGATGTAGACGATCAAATTCTGTAGACTAAGCAAAGCATATACATATAACCAACAATATAACCCGACCCCATATTAGCGAAAGAGCGAGAAAATTGTAAATTAACATTAATTAGAGGACAGTCGAGGTGAGACTAGGATGAAGGCGGGTTTATGTTTATGTCAAGTAGCGAGTCGAAAACGCAACCACATTAAACTGGATGTGAAACGAAACCTTACAAATTAGTACATGCAGAATGCTTCTATAATTTCTATTGTCATTACCAAGGGAGTACGCAATGCTTGATAAACCACGACCATGTGAAGATGAGATATAAATAATAATTGCAGGCAAGCTATAAAATGTATGCTAAGCTATTTATTTAATTTATGCCTAGTATTAAACGAATGAAACAAACAAAATGTTGGCGCCAATCGCTGATCCAATGGATTTCGTAGTTGAATATAACTTAGATTCGCTTACCATGGATGCGTACTCGTAAATTTAATCAAGAAAATCCACGTTGAATGATCAAATTTAGATATGTGACTTGAACGTGAAAGCCGAGCAACTCAATATTAGTTTTAGTATTACCAATTATTGTAATTATTACGTGAAGCCTTTCACCGACACTCTCCACACACTTTAAAACCTTAAACTTGATATTCGAAACCGATGAAAAAGAATCAAAAACGATTGCGATCTGTGTACACCAAGCAAATCCTCTATTATTTTAATTACGTATTTTAATTTACTCCTTAGTTGTTACAATCAAGAACCCGATTCGCCTTTTGGATCCCTCAGTGATCCGAAACTCTGATGAGCCGATGATAATGGTAATAATAATAGGAGTGGTTGCCCATCAAGCAATCACTCGCAATTATATAGCAGATTTATACATTTACATATACATAAATCTATTGATTTCTAATTTTAACTGTAAATTTTTGATTTTTTATTACCATGTATTTTTATTTTAAATAAAGTTTTACAAAAAGAAGTCGTGTGATTTGCGTCTGCATTTTGATTTCCAAGATCCTCCAACAGGACCATTGAATTGATGAGAACGTTGTAGACAAGCTGGCTCTCGTTTGCAACGGTTGCAAAAATCAATAACTTTTACTTAAAAGTACAGAACAGAAACACCAAAAGACCATTTAAGCGCCAAGAAGCTGTTGCCTTTTCACTTTGGAAAAGTTTTCGCTGCTGGCAGCATTTTGATTTCTTAAATCTGAGAATTACGCCGCACAACATGAAAGCATTTTCGTTTCCAACCGTTAAAAATCCACTGCCGTAAATTGCCGTTAAACACAAGCTGCACGCATGCGTTTTGTTTGACAAAGAATGAGAATCCGTATGATATTCTCCAATATTATGTATATGCAAACAAAAAGTATTGCAATTCTCCTGCATGTAAGACACGAACTAGAAAGTTGTAACAAATACAAAATTTAGATTCCGATTTGGCATTCAACTAATACTTAAGCAGCAAAAGTGCAGCCGCGAGGGGCACGATAAGCATTACTTAACTAAGTCGAAATAAAAGTTCATTGTAGATTTGAGCATATAGGAAAGGTCCCAGGTCCTAAAGGAACACCCAGCACATAAGTTTATACATACATATATAAAAAGTAAAAAACAAAAATGCATATTAACTGGACGATACTTTTATAACAAATTGAAGAGAAAGTACATAATACTCAAAAAATACCATTCACACATTTCATGTTAAGATATAATAAAGTGGATAAATAAAATATTAAAAACCAAACTATGACTGTTGTTTAAATGGTTTCGTGAGAGATTATTTAGGTGAGTTTGTAATAAAATTTTTTTATTAAAGTAAGAATTATTTTCTATAGAGGTTTTAAGAAAACTACGTAAATTTAAAAATTTACTGCATAGTATAAACATTAAACATTTTTATATAATTGTAGTTTTATAACAAATTATTAATATATCTCGGATTTTGCCCATAATATAATTCATTAGGGGCTGTCCAATGGACAGTGTCCATATATTATGCAACCACGTGGGAAGGTGTCAGCCAAATAATTAAGGCTGTGAAAGAAATTAATGTTTATCCTCGAAAAACTACATTAAGTAAGAGATAAAAAATAAGTACAATTATGATTAGTTAATATATGGACAGCTTTATATAAGAGAGAGTTAAGCCCAATGTTATTTAAAAAAAGATTGCAAGCTGATACTCGTTGGTACCGTGCCTAAGGTAATTAGTTAAATTGTTATAATTTAACATGACATATGTTTGTTATTTTGAAAACGGCATAGACCATAGTTCAAACTCGGCGCACAGTTAACCGTTTTGAGTTTTGAGGAAAATACCTAAAGCTATGTATAAGTTCACGGTAGCAAAAAATACTTAACATTACAACGGTAGAAACCTGGCAACCCTGAAACCTGCGAAAAAGAAGGCTGGTAAAAAAAAACAAAAAAGAATATGGATGCAACTTCAGTAATTACGGGCGATGTGGATAAAACACAGGTAAATGGGATTTTACTAGGATAGAGTATCCTTTCACCAAGTTATTCTTCTAGATACCGCCGCTGAATCAGAAGCGCATCCTGGCCTTCGTCAATCACTTCCTCGTCAGCACTTGCACCTTCCTAAATGAATTTGCCCTGGGCTGTGAGACAAAGTTTGTGGAGATGGAGAGGCAACTACAAAAGACGGAGGCTGCCCTCATCATCCTGGAGGCCAAGCTGGCGTCCATACCCACCGAACACCATGTAGCGGACGAACCATCCAGGATCCCAGCGCCAACCGAGGAACCCAACGAACCAACTCAAATACTGGACTCTAAGGTGCCATCCGCGGATAGCCAACCCGAACCGGAAGATCCGCCTGAATGCATCGGAGTGCGTGCTTGCGATGATCTGCGCTACAGGAAGTTCTTCAAAATGGTTCAAGTGGGAGTGCCCGCACCGGCGGTCAAGCAGAAAATGAAATCAGAAGGCCTGGAACCACGAATTTTGGAGTAAGTTGTGCGCTTAGGTTGCGCACCATATGTTCTACATCAACCGTACGTTTCATTCCAGTACGCCCAATCTGATCCTGGCAGACGGACTGCGTGAGTGAACGACTGGTAGAAGACCAAACCCACTTTGTGATATAGCTATTTTGCTACACTCTTCAATTAAACATTTTGTAAGGCTTACGTCTACAAGTTTGTTTTGTTTTATTTGCCGGAATGGAGCGGCGCGAAAACAAGTTAAAACCACTTCGTTAGCAAAAAAGAGTTTCGGTTTAAAGGAGCCTAGAACTGGATCATCTGTCCCTTGCGCTTCTTGTCACCGCCCAGCTCGAAGTGCTTGCAACGCTTGAGGGGAGTTTGCTTGCGGTACTTGCACTCGGTGCACTCCATACGCAGCACAATCTTTTTGGTGGTCTTGGCCTAAAATGGTATAAAAACGTCGATTAGCAAAGATAACAATATGGATGTTGGTTTATAGGGTTGTCTGAAGCTGCAGGTGAGGCGCCATGGGCGGGGATGCCACATAACGCTGCCTTCTCGGCCGCACCGGTGCAACAACACTTTTGATCTGGCACAGTTTTTTCCCACCAAAAAGCATAATGCTCAACGAGCGCAGCGATTTAGTTCTACGAAGCGCCATTTAGATTCTAGACCAGCTACCAAGACTGTCGGATCTAAGGTCTAACCTTATTTTGGTTATTTACAATTTACAATGGCCGGTTTAACAAATCGTTCAGCAGGGGCGATTTGAGCACAGGGTTCTGTAGCTCGGCAGAAAACCCCTGTAAATTCAATCTTCTTGACAACCTTTTGATCTACGACAGTCTGGTGGCAGGTAAACTTCTTCCGGACGCGGGAACTCACCTTCTTCCTGAAGATAGGCTTGGTCTGACCTCCGAAACCCTGCTGCTTCCTGTCGTAACGACGCCTGCCCTGAGCACCCTTGCGCTCCTTGGACTTCTTGTACTGCGTCACCTTGTGCAGCTTGTGGACCTTGCACTTCTTGCAGAAAGTGCGACGCTGTTTTGGTACGTTCACCTGCAGGCGGGAAATGGAAACCAATTAGAACCGTACTTCCTCGAACAGCGAACGGCCACGCACTTGGAGCACGGCGCCCCCCACATTCCGTTTTATGAGACAGCCATGCTACGATTTCCGCTCTCGATTTCGGCCATGTTCAGCGCGGGCGTTCGGCGAGTTCGGAGATCGCTTACCATCTTGAAAAGATAATCCTGATAATGCAAAAACTATGCAAAATTGCCGAAATCACGAAACTAGGCACGTGTTGTCGTCGCGCAGGAAACGCAGCGAAAAGAAAAGGAAAGAAGAAGAGTCGCTAGAGGTGGGCAGAAAATAATGTGGCCGCGTTGCCGTCGTGAGTATCGTACGTCACAAACGAGTAGTTCCATCACTTTTGTAACTTTTTATAATAAAAGAAGAATAAAAAATAATATAAATTACAAGTTCTTTCTGACCGAGAGTGAAAGAATATTCCACATAATAATTAATTGTCCAATAGCTTGCCTTACAATCTGTTTTTTTTGTTTTTTAGATGTTCCTAAAGAAAGAGATGCCAACTTGATTCCTAGACCGGCAGGGAGCTGCCAACTGTGTTTTTAGATTGAAAAGAATGATTTCGCTAGAGGTGACACCTCGATGTCAAACCGTTGGGACTGTCGACATATACAATTTAAATATCGTTTTCGTATGACTATCGAATAAAATTGTTATAATACTGTTCAGCAGATGTTGTTTCCGAATTTCAATTCACCGGCGAAACCCGTCTAGTACTCACATCGACAAAATCCGTGCGCCAGCTATAGAAGGCTAATAGGGTATTCAGAAAGGCGAGGATTCTGCTTTAGCAACTTTTTGTTCCATAGTGCTTACTATCGTAGATTGAAAGAGGCTTTTCGTCAGAACCGTTTTTCGCCCCGGTACTCAGATAAAGGTAGTTTTCGCTTTAGCGATAAAATTCCGCCTAATTCCTTCATAAGAAATACTCGTGTAGAATAGAGAAGGGAAAAAGTCGCTACAACTCGATGCAGCGGTAAAAGGGAACGCACATGCAAATTGATTCAGTATTTTTTTTAGTTTAGTTTAGTTTTTTTTTTGAAATTGGCGTTTCGGGTAATTTTTTGGGAAGGAAATGCATTTGAAATGCAATGGCGCCGTTATATAGAAAATGGTTGTTAGTGCAGGCCCAAGAAGCCTTTCAAAGGCTCGGAACTCAGCAAATGATCTCATCTTGAAAATAAATAAATAATATAAATAAATAAATACATTTTTTAAGGAAATGACCAACCTCCAGCTTATGTTATCCTTGTCAAGACCTGGCACCGGTTTGCTTATGCCGATCAGCTGTTCGCCTCAGCGATTGTCTATGTGAACAAGGAATTCGCTTAAAGCCTAGTACTCAGATCGACGAAAACCGCGGGCTAACCATAGGAGTGAGCGAGAGGCAAATACGCGGCTAACGCTTTTCGTGGGGTCTGTTTTTCAGCGCGGTACTCAGATAAGCTAAGGAAATACCAGAAAAAATACTAGATTTTGCGAGTGAATTTTCGATGAACGCCGTTAGCCGCGGCCCAAAGAATAAGAAATTTAATCTTTGGCGGTGTTCGTGCAAAGGCGATGTGGAAACTAAAAATTAAAAATGGAAGGAAAGCCCCAAAATCGAATCCAGAAGGTCAGAGCAGATGAAATAGGACGCCAAATCCAAGCTTATTCCCTTTATTGCGGGATTTCACCGACAGGAAGCTATTCCACAAAAGGGGAAAATTCGCAGAATAGTTGAAGTGCTGGAGGAGATCCACTAGAGAATCCCAGTGGGAAGGAACATGCCGAGTGGGACTTCGATCTCTACATGGACAACCTGCCGGGCGCGTCCTCGCAAAGAAAGTAAGATCTGGCCAAAAGAATTTGGTCGCGTTGTACTAATAGACGTATCTTTTTAGCAGAACCAACAGTAATACGATCTTCGACGACCTCTCCATTAGGACTCCGGACACCACCACCACCAGCTACTTGGCAGCTTCAGCGGAGCTGGAGGACCCGCTGGCTTCTATAGGGAGGAGGAAAATAGGGCGCCCGCTAAGGAACAGTTGGAGAAGCCATAGCCAGCCACTGCCAGGTTGCTGGGCGACTTCCTGCAGCATCAGCGGATCAACCCCGTTCCCAATCCGGCTCCCACTTCCTCAAGGTCCAATATGCCTATTGAGACTCGGAGCTGGACTGCGGTGGAGCGGGAAAGATGGCGAAGCATCCGTGGGACGAAAAGTAAGCTTTAAACTACTAATTTACATAAATGAAAACATTCGTTGAACAAGCTGGACTGCGGTGGAGCGGGAAAGATGGCGAAGCATCCGTGGGACGAAAAGTAAGCTTTAAACTACTAATTTACATAAATGAAAACATTCGTTGAACATTCCATTTATTTTTATTTTAATTTCTTTGTGTACCAGCAGACTCCTCCTTTTTAAATTTAAATTTCAAACCCAACTGCTTGACAGTAAGACCATGCTACATGCATTGCGGGTGAACTTTGAAAACTTCGGTAACACCACAAAGAATAAGATTTTTCGACTAGTGAAACTCTTAGCCGATCTGAGTACTAGGCTTAAAGTTGCAACAACGATATTTAAGCGGCTGTGTGCCGAGGGTATAAGCTAAGGAAATACCAAAAAAAAAGTACCAGAAAGTACGGCCGCGCAAAGAATACGAAATTTAATCTTTCACTGTGTTCGTGCAGAAGCTGTGTCGAAAACATTAAAAGAAATGGAGGGAAGTGCAGATCCACAGAAGAACCTTGATGGGGAGGAGCATGCAGAGTTGGACTTCGCTCCCCATATGAAGTTCCTGCCAGACGTACTCCCGCACAGAGAGTAAGTTCTGGCCAAATGAAGTGGGTTACTTTGTCCTAATATAAGTAGCTTTTTAGCAGAACAACCAGTAATGCTATCTCCGATGAGCTCTCGAGTGATGAATCGCTGGACTCCTCCACCATCAGCTACATGGAAGTAAGTTGCTCTATTGATGTAAGATAATATTATGTTATAATATTAAAATATATGTGTGCTTTCATAGAGAGAAGAGCCATTACCAGCAATGGATATGTGTAGGATGCTAGCCAAATTTCTGCAGCACCAGCAGAACAACCCCGTTTCCCGTCCGACACCCGCATTCTCGAGGCCCATTTTGGCATATTGGAAATCGGAGCTGAACAGCATGCGTCCGGAAGATGCCGCCAAAGTAGAGAAGAAGATGACGATGCTTCTGTGGGACGAGAAGGAAGCATTAAACTATTAAATTACATATACTACGTATAAATAAAAACATCCACATCCGTTGAACATTCCATTTATATGCGTTGTTTATTATCCTCTCTGATCGCCCTAAGCGAATCGAAACCAAAGAAGAAAATATCGTGCAAATTGTGTATTCCTGAAAGTACAATTTTGAAAATAACAAGGAGTTTCCCCATAGCTGTTGAAAAAATAATCAAGGATGAGAGTTCCATTCGGCTAAAAGTATGGAATCGGAATTATTGAGAACCCAAGACCACAATCTCCTACGAAAAGTGGCGTGTTTGGAAAATTATAATCAAATCGGTCTGCTTCAACCAACGATTTAGACAATTTTGGAAGTTGAATGACCTCTAGAGTGTGGCTTTTTCCCTACATAAAAGTAAACCGCACTGGTCCAAGACACCTTTTTCGCGCTTTCCTTTGATCATTTATTTTTATCCCAATTGCATTGGCATTTGCTATTAACATTCAAATTGTTTCCCTACAACAGCTGTCTGTTGCTAAAACGCATCTTCCCAAAAAATCCAACAACGCAATGTACAGAAATCACCTAAGTTCTTAAAAAATACTAAATAAAAATAGTGAAATACTAAATATATTTGATTGTGCGGTACCACATTCCGCTGAAGCGGAGTGTCATGGTACAACTAGACAAGGTCGTCTCGTCGGCAAAATGTAGTCCGTTAACTATAGCCGAACAATTAGGCAGCTGACATGCGGAGTGTAATGACTCTTCCCGTCCCTTTCTAACATATGCAATTCTATCAAAGAAAAAGTCGCTGGAGCTGAAATACCTTCTGTCTGAACAGACTATAAGGTAGTTGACAAAAAGCAGCCGGTTAATTTGATTCCCTCGAAAAAAAGTGATCATTGAATCTGGAAATACTAAGTGGTAATATAGGATGTAGACATAATGGGCAGGGCCTTATTGAATTTGTAGAGAACAGCTGATATTTAACGATTCAACAGTTTATGGAATACCCTAAATAAAAACAGTATGACCAAACATCTTAAAAATCCTAGCAAGTAGGACAATAACATCCAACTATCGACTTTCAGGCAAATCGGACTATCGATTTTTGATTAGATAAAATCCCGATAGATGATTAGCACTGTAAATAAATCGAAGTATTTTCAACAATTTTCTGGCGAAAATAATTGGAAATAGCGAATACAACAGCAGCCAAAACCGGACGCGCTGGTGGCCCGGGCCCAGCGGCTAGTCGTGTGCAATGGCAGAAGCCAGCGGACGCTGGCTGGAGTGAACTGAACAGCCAAAACGGCACCCAGTGATATATGGCCAAAAATTTGCATAAAAAGTGAGCGATTAAAATGCAGAAAATGTACGCGTTGCTCGCAACCTTGACATTCTGGTCGCTAATGCTGCGGTCGGAACAGGCAAACCCGACGCCGTCGGTGCCGTGCGATCGCAGCCGGAAGGTGTTCACAGAGCCCTACGGCGAGATCTCCGATGGACCCTCCGGCTTCAATTACACCCAGGACTCGCACTGCGAGTGGCTCATCAAGGCGCGTAACGACAGCCAGTTCATCACGCTGACCTTCCACAGCATGGGCACCGAGTGCTCCTACGACTACATCTACGTCTACGACGGGGACTCCTTCAACTCGACCCTGCTGGGCAGCTTCAGCGGGCGGACGCAGCCCCAGCGACTAGTGGCCCGCAGCGGCAGCGTGAGTATTGCACCCCTTTTATGGCCCTGCAGGAGTGGAGCAACGGTTCCCTTTCATTCTCCTTTTCAAAACAAGGTTTCAAGTAGATCACGTAGGAAATATTTTAACGCACAAATAGCGTTTAAGGAGCATATATCACAACATGGGTTAAGGATTTGGTCATACAAAGATTCGGCTCTATTAGCCATATACAGTTATTGTTAATGAGCCACTAGTTGTTGCTACGCGTTAGTAGGAGTTATAGGAAACTAGAACCCCACTCGTTAAGGGCTATACTCTCTGTATTCTGTGTTCTCCCAACTCAGAGTTTAACCTCTCCCTCAGATGCTTATCCTGATGTACAGCGATACAAACTACGTCCTAGATGGCTTTCGCGCCTCCTACTACATATCAAACTGTCTAAACAACTGCCACAATCATGGAAAGTGCGTGGGCCACCAGTGCGTATGCCACGGCGAGTGGGTGGGACCTGACTGCGAGGATGAGGCCTGTCCGCATCGCTGTGGCGAAAGTCAAGGACGAGGTCGCTGCCAGAAGAGCATCTGTCACTGCTCACGCGGGTTCAGCGGCCGCCTCTGCGATCTGAGCGATCATCCAGCGGGCAGCAGTTGGCGCTGGCTGGCCACCGACGCCGAGGGCATGACTCCCCGTGCCGCCCACACCGCCGTTTACATGGAGGACGAGGACGCTCTTTACGTGTTCGGGGGTTACGACCTGAACAACGTTATTAGCACTCTTCAGGTAATGTCGTTTAACAAGTAAAAAACAAAATATAATATTAATAGAATACTAGCACTAAAAATTATACTGATCAATGATCAATAAAAAATGCAACAGGTCTGGCAGTTAGCCACAGCTCTTTTCTTAATTATTTTATTTGTAAAATTAAAAAACGTAAAACTGCTTACTCTTGACACAAAAACACGTTTAATAAAAAATTTTCTATCAAATAAATAATTGTGAATAATTGCTACTTTTGCGGTACAATTATATTATCCCTTAAGATTGTTAAAAGTGGTATATATCTTACCAAATTATTTTGATTTCTTTCAGATTTATCGCTTCAGCACCAGCCAGTGGGAGGATGAATGGGGCATTGCCCTGCAGAGTCGCCGTCACTTCTATCACCCGCAAAAAATCGATCATACGTTGCTAAAGGCTGTGCTTCAGCACAAAAACGAGGACGAGGCCAAGCTCTGGGGTCTGAACAGCGACGTGAGCTTTTTCAGAAACATTCTGTACACCTTGGCGGAATCCAATCTGCACCAACGTCGCACGCGGTCCTCCCTTCCCCTTACCATTGTGAACGCCAACTCGACGGACGAAGAGTTAAACGAGTATCTGGAGGATATACTGGAGGAGGTAACGGATCATAAGCCACACGGACGATATGGCCATGCAGCGGATCGCGTGCCCGGCGGCTTCGTTATCTACGGTGGCAAGCATGACAATGGTAGTTTTTACAGTGATCTCTGGCAGTACAACAACACGGAGAGTGGTGGCAAGTGGAAGCAGATGGCCATTAGATCGAAGGTTAAGCCGCCGGCCTTGGCTAGGCATACGCTAAATACTGCAGGATCTAATCTCTATATATTTGGCGGCAGTCTGGAGACGGGTGAGTTCTCATCCAGCGTATATCGCATTCCACTTCCCCTCTCCGAGGATTCACAATGGGAGCTGGTGCAACCTAGAGGAGGAAAGACGTTAGACGTTCGTCTGGCAGCGCATTCCACCGTCCACTACAAAGCCACAAATTCGCTAATTGTGTTTGGTGGAATCATGACAAGCTTAGCACGCTTCTCGAAGCTCTCGGATCGCATTTACGCTTTTCAGCTGGATCAGATGCATTGGACGGAGATTTTATACCCGAGAACAGCGCTTAGGGACACCAATATACCCAGGGAGCGAGCATTCCACACGGCCACCATATCGGGCAATTACATGGTAGTATTCGGGGGCTATACGCACCGCCACAACAAGGATGAGATTTGCTACGACAACCAGATGTACTGGTACCATCTAAGCTGCCACATTTGGATTAATCAGGTTGTGTCCGCCGAGGATAGCCTGTATCCGAAACCACAGGGCGTTTTTGCCCACGCCGCGGCTTTGCGCCGAAATCACACACTTTTGATTGTGGGTGGCTACCATGGAAATGTTAATGCAGATCTTTTTGCCTATGAATTGCCCCAGGTGCTGAGGGTGGAGAATACTCTTTACAATCCGGAGATCTCTTGCAGATTGCATGCCTCACACACCGCTTGTCTTTCGAATCCGGAATGTGGATGGTGCTCGGCAGATAGTAGTTGCTACGGTCGCACCATCGGCGCCAATTGCACAACCAATCTTCAGACGACCAGATGCCCAGGGATATGTCCCTCTCTAGGCGATTGCCACTCTTGTTTAGTCCATGGCTCGCAATGGGGAAAATCATCCGGAAATAAAGTAGCTTTTTCGGTGGCCAGCAAACTTGGATTAAACGAATGCACATGGTGTGTCCAAAATGCAAAATGCCACCACCGGGATGACAACTACGGGATTTGCGGAGATAGTTCAGGCTGGTGGGGTGACAAAGGCACAGAGATTCGGCGACCCTCGCTATGCACAAGTACTGACAGACGCCCGGGACTTACGTACATCAAGTACCACTTTCCGATCAACTATACCATGCCGGATTACGTGGGTATTGTGAATGCCACTATGGTGGATTTTGCCTCACCGCCGTTTACCACATATTTTGAGCACAAACTCGAGGGAGAAATGCTGGCCCGTTTGGTAGGATTCGTGCGTCCGCAACATAAGTGGAACAACTCGGCAATCCAGGTGTGCACCAGCTACTCTTCGGCAGTTTTGCGTGTTGGCCTTGGTCTTTACCTTGATGAGCTTGTCAATGTCACCACGCAGAGCTCAAATCAGAGCTACTGCAGCAACGTCCAGCTGCCCACCACAGAGCAACCATTCACCATTGATTTCCAGGTGCGTTGAATAAATTTATTCTGGGTGTTACAGAACCCGTTTCAAAATCACGTAGACGTTTTAAAATCAAAAAAGAAAAGCTTTCAAAAAAAAAAAACTATAGCAGGATAACAGAAAGCTGTTATTGCATAAGTGGGAGAACTGTCTCCAGTGTTTTTTTTTAAACTTGTTTGTGATTTTTATGCTAAGACACATACTGGGATTTTTTTTTTAATTTAATCTGGGTGTTACAGAACCCGTTTCAAATTCACGTAGACGTTTTAAAATCAAAAAGAAAAGCTTTCAAAAGAAAAAACGATAGCAGAATAACAGAAAGCTGTAATTGCATAAGTGGGAGAACTGTCTCCAGTGTTTTTTTTTAGACTTATATGTGATTTTTATGTTAAGACACATACTGGGATTTTGTATATTTTTGTTTACCAATAAGCCGATTTGTTTGCAGTATGCAAAAAAGGAGAAAGAGAAGCTCCAGGAGCTGTAGCAATATGCTCTTCAAAAATAGCAACACGTGTTACGAAATAAAAATCTATAAAGTAGCAGCACAAGTCAATACACAACAACGAAATCTATTCAAAAATCGATCTGTTCATAGAAAAGTTATGAGAAATAAATGTTATGACCGGTAGTTACGCATAGATCGCCAAATCGAAAGCAATCGTTCTAGCGCCCGCAATTTTAAAGGTTTGTGCCTTGTAGCCTATCTTTGCTTGATCCGTGAAACACGCCCACTTAAACAAAAAAATGTCTGGCGACCACGTTTTTGAAAATTTTTTCAGTGTATATTTTATGTTCTTCTGTGAACTAGCCAGTAATCTATTAATCTAATATTTTTGAACGAATTTTTAGTATTTATTATGTCCTTCATACTTCGTTATTTGTTAAAACTTTAAAGCATTTTAATGTCAACTTAATTATTTTCCCTAAATCGTCCACAGGCTCGTCGAAGGATTGGAGGGAACGGTATTTACAACGCCTATCAAAAGACCAAAATGGAACTTCAACACTTGCATAACGGCCAATTAAACGCATTTACATTTGAGTACTTGGAGCCGTACTACTCCGGCAAATGCACCCAGTATTCTAACTGCCTCCACTGTCTCACGGATGCTTCCTGTGCCTGGTGTCCCCTAACCAGCGTCTGCCACCTGCGATCCGTGAACGAGACTGAAGTGTGCAAAAAAGAGGATCTGAAAACCTACCATTGGTCTTACCTGATCAGCCAACCTAGTCAATGTTCGAACTGCACAAACTATGTAAGCTGCGAGGCCTGCGCCCAGAGTGGAGAGTGCGAGTGGTGGACGGAGGACGCCCGTTGCGGCAGGATCGGCAAATCCAACAGCAGCGTGCGGGCGGTAGAGCATTGCCCCAGGTCCTGCAGGGAACGCCATGGCTGCCAGGAGTGCCTCGGCGAGAGAGGACGATGCGTTTGGTGCGAGGCCAGCTCCCAGTGCTTCAGTTTCTCCGTGTACACAAGTGAGTATCAGTTTGGAATGTGCCGCGAATGGATGGACCAGGTAGTAAGTCGCCAGCCGCACGAGCTGGCCGATCAGAAGCACCACCAGCCGCCGCATCTACTACAGCAGCAGTGCAAGTCCTGCGAGCAGCATCGAAACTGTTCCTCTTGTCTGCGAACTTTGAGCTGCGGTTGGTGCTTCGATCGCGACAATCCCATCGAAGGTATTTGCATGCAGGGCGATTTCAGCTACAGTGCTGGCAATTGCTCTCTGGCTTTGAATAGTTCTTCCCATCATGATGCGGAGTGGGCGTACGCGCAGTGTCCGGATGTCGATGAGTGTGGACTGGGCCTCCATGATTGCCACAAGGAGGCGAAGTGCACTAACACCCAGGGCAGCTATAATTGCCACTGCAGAAGAGGCTATATAGGCGACGGCAAGTTTAGCTGTGTCAGGACGTGTTATGAGTTGTGCCAAAATGGAAACTGCTCGGGTCCTCCCGATTACACCTGTCGCTGTGCTTTGGGCTGGACCGGAGCCGATTGTGGACTAAGTTGTGGCTGTAACAATCATTCGACTTGCAATGAGAGACTGGGGAAATGTGATCAGTGCCAGGATTGGTCGGAAGGTGAGAAATGCGAACGATGTCGACAGGGGAGCTATGGGAACGCCACCGCTCCACACGGGTGCCTTCCGTGCGAGTGTAACGGTCACGGACACCAAGATCTTGGCATCTGTAATGTCAGCAACGGAGAATGCTACTGCAAGGACAACACCCAGGGAATCAACTGTGACTTGTGTGCTCCCGGGTATTACGGAGATCCTAGAGCCGGCGGAAAGTGCTACTATCAATGTGAGTCCAGAGGAATACTAACCAATATTGGAACGAGTGCCATTGGCTCATATCAGTCCTATCGATCACCCTGGGGCGCCAGCCTAGAAGTAAAGGAGTGCTTGTGGATACTGCAACCGAAGACACAACAGGCGGAGAAGTCGCTTCTTCAGCTGGAGTTTCAGTGGCAGAGTCTGGCCATGGATTGTGATGAGAATGCCGTGTATATATACGATAGTCTGCCGGATCTGACAGGTGCCACCCAGCAGAATCAACTGCTGGCCGTGGTTTGTGCACCCTACAGTTCAGCCAGGATTATCGAAGCCCGTTCCAGTCACGTCACGGTTCACTATAAACAGGGCAGTGAAAGACGACACTTTGGATTCAATGCCCTCTACTCCGTTATGAATTGCGTGGCCGGAAGTTGTCTACCCCCTCACATCTGCGATGCCCAACAACGTTGCGTTTGTCCAGCCGGATATGTGGGCGCAAGTTGCGAGATTGAAATCTGTCCGAGCAACTGTAACGCCAAGAGAATGCAGGGATTCTGCGACACAGAGTACGGCAGGTGCATCTGCAGTAACGCCAATTATGCGGGGGCGGATTGCGGTACGTTAGTTCAGCGGAACCACCTGGTAATAACGGAGCTATTCAATACGCAATTGCTAAGCGAAAGTCTGGAGCATCTTAGAAAAACGATACCACGATTTGGACACTCGGTGAACGCGGATCGCAGGGGATCCCTTTGGATGTTTGGTGGGTATTCACCCAACCACGGACCTCTTAACGATTTTCGGCAGTTCGACACAAAGAATAGCACCTGGCTGCAGGTCACAGTGGAGTCGTCGACCCCAGAGGATCGCATGCCCCTTGGGCGGTATTTCCATGCCTCTGAGATCTTCGTGAAAAAACAGATTATCTACATATATGGAGGAATCGGTGCAAATTCGCAGCTGCTAAATGACTTTTGGATGTTTTCGATACAAAACCAACGATGGAGTCAGATCAAAGTGGAGGTGGAACCAAGCGGAGCGGACTACCAGGTGAGTGCATTGGGAAAATAAGATCTAAAGGTAGTCCTGCCAGTCAATAAGATTAACCCTCTATAAATATGTATACTATACGTGATATATCAGATTTAATATAGCGTAATTTTTTTTTATGAGCAAACAGTACATTTTGTTTGTGTGTACTTTGTGAAGCTTATTTCACTTTCACCCATGGTATTATATGTATTTATTTATATTTACAGGTGGATTTGCCGCCGCCTCTAGCCGGTCATACGCTTACTCATCTGCGCTATCAGGAACACGAGTCGTTGATTCTGCTTGGCGGATTGACACTAAACAAATCCCGGCCTCTCGAACTGTGGGAGTTCAACCTTGACACGGGTCGATGGCAGCAGCTAGCAGCCGTGGGTGCCAGAATGCCAGTTCTCTATGGCCATACTTCTGTCTACCATCCCGAGACAAACAGTGTTTACTTGTTTGGAGGATATTCCACGGAACCACAGAGCAATCTTTATGCGCTGGACTTGCAGAAGCTGAGCTGGACTGAACTTCCCAGTTTCAGGGAACTTAACTCGCCCGCCGCGATGCTACCCAGGGCTCGTTATTTCCACTCGGCCGTCAGCACTGAGCACTACATGATCCTTTACGGTGGACGTACGCAGCCATTTAATGGAACAGATGTCCTCATTGCCTACGTGTACGCCTGTAATCAATGGGTGCGGCTGACAGAGGATGTTGAGCTTATAGGACGTGTTCCAGCCTCTAGTTATGCAGAGGACATGGCCATCGATCCGGATACGGGTGTCATTTTTGTCATCGGTGGATGGGACGGCAGTTCCACACACAGCCACGTGACCAAGATAACTTTACCGGATGACATTTGCCAGCTGTGGAGTAACGGAAAGTATCAATGCCGGCACTACATGGGATGCAGCTATTGTACGATTCAGAACACGTATAGTTACAGTAGTCACTGCTTCAGTCATGGACGTACTCCTTGTGCCAATCACAACGGAACTTTGGTGGTCAATAACGGAGCTGCATGCGATGACGACTGGATGGCGAGCAGGAACTGCTCGAGTTTCGCCACCTGTGGCGCATGTCTGGCAGCGTGGCCAACCCATCAAGAAGTGGCACCCGTCTGCCAGTGGTGCGATGAGTGCGGCATTCGCGGAAGGTGCGTCCCTGCCGGGGTGGACTGCGGTTGGAGGAGCGCCTGGTGCAATAAGGAACTGAGTGTGGGCGTTCTGGGGCTATGTCCCCTACCTCAATGTTACCAATTAAGCTGTGAGAGTTGTATGCTTCAGCCGCAATGCAACTGGGCCAGGAATGAACTGGGCACTGTGGAATGTATAGCCAAGGAGCTGGTGGAAAAGAATCAATACAGGTTGGTCGAAAGCTGTCCCCTACCCTGCCACACTCACGAGAACTGCAGCTTGTGTCTGAGCCAAACGCCCGCTCAGGATCGCCAGGAGTGCAAGTGGTCTACTAAACTGAATTTGTGCCTGACGCCCAGTTCCCAGCCGCTGCTTTGCGCGGGAGGTGTTTGTGGGTTGGTACTGGAAGCTAGCGAGTTAGAACGCTGCCCAGAACCCTGTCACGTTTACACACAATGTTCGAGCTGCTTGGAGCACGCCCACTGCGGGTGGTGTGCCCGCGAGGGACACAATGGAGATGGCATCTGTACGGAGGGAGCATTGGAGCACAAGCAGGAACATCCTTCACGATCCACTTGCGACCTAATATATGCCAGCTGGCGAAATGATTCACACCTAACACATGCTGATGTTGTGTCCTGGCACTATGTGCAGTGTCCGGCAGAGAATGAGTGTGTTAATGGTCATCACAACTGCGACGCGGTTTCTGAACAGTGTATTGACTTGGACACAGCGGTGGGCTACAAGTGCATCTGCGCCCAGGGATATCGCGAGGAGCAAGGTGTCTGCATGCCCGTATGCAGCCAGGGATGCGTCCGTGGCAATTGCGTGAGTCCCGATCAGTGTCAGTGCGACTTTGGCTACGTGGGCGCCAATTGCAGCATCCAGTGTTTGTGCAATGGTCATTCCAACTGCGAGTCCAGCAGCCGACTAGACATTTGCTTAAAGTGTCACAACAACACGATGGGAGAGCAGTGCGAGAAGTGTCAGCCGCTCTTTGTGGGCAATCCCCGAGAAGGTCATGCTTGTCAACCATGCTTGGACTATTGCCATGGGCACAGTGACGTGTGTGTGGCCTATGATTCGGATCCGGCGGTGTTTAATATGACCCGTTCTGAGCTGGAAAGGATTCTACCGGAAGGGCCCGCGTACAATGCTACCTGCTTGAGATGTGGCAATCACACGGATGGAGACCGCTGTGATAGCTGTTTAACTGGCTACTTCCGCGGCAGCGAGGATCTACGCAAGGAGTGCCGGCCCTGCCAGTGTCATGGACATGGTAACATTTGCGATGCCGTTACCGGCGAGAAATGCAATTGCGCCAACAACACGGAAAGCGATGCCACTTGTACCGCGGGTGGCGGGAAGAACTCTGCGCAGCTCTGCTGGATGGTGCAGTGCTCCAAGTGCCGCGATTCGTACGCCGGCAACCCCACAGATGGTCACCAGTGCTACAAGCAAATAACCGTCGAGTCCCGAATGTGCTTTGATGCCAAACCCATTGGTAAGTGCTGTTACCATTTAATTGGTCAGAAATAATATAGGAAAAGGCTTTCCCTAATTTTAAGAGATCAAAAACTTTCCGCCAGTATAGAAGATGAACCATGCTAATTATTATTGTTAATATTAATGCAAATTGTTGTTAAACATACTGTACCTCACATTTTTAATTTATTATTTATTTTATATAAATTAGTTATACTTTTTTTTCCTTTATTTTTTACCACAGAGGAATGCAAATCAAAGCCAGCTGCCCTAAAGCCCGGCCAGACGGTGTTCTTTGTGATCCAGCCTCGATTTATGAACGTGGATATTCGCATTATTATTGACGTGACACAAGGCGAATTGGATGTGTTCATGTCGCCCCAGGACGACTCCTTTATAGTCGAGACAAATGAGACGACCGGCTACCACGAGATCTTCCTTGACAACCGTTACAATTGGGGGCCGAAAATAAAGCGCGAGCATCCCCTAAATGTTGCTTTGCCCAGACACGATAACGTAACGATCCAAAAACTATTTTCACCCGAGCGTCGCATAGGAGGCGGTGGCCTAGGAGGAGGTGGAGGAGAGAGAATAGGAGCCAACACCTATTATGTGCCCCAGTTGCAGGACTGCAAAAGTCATGGGGGCCACAACTTTATAGTGAAGGATCAGCACGCAAAAGATTTGAGTACACATGTAACGCTCAATCACTGCAATACATTGTTACGTCTATTTGGTCTGAAAAATCGTTTGGTGCTAACCCTGCCCCAACATGCTCACAATCTGAGTGCCACCCGCTTCTTTATTGCTTTGCGAGCGAGCTCCGGACCAGAACCCAGTTACGGATCCGTTGTGTTCCGTCAGGATCAACTGCATATTGACCTGTTTGTGTTCTTCTCAGTGTTCTTCTCCTGCTTTTTCCTCTTCCTCGCCGTCTGCGTGATTGTGTGGAAGGTGAAGCAAGCGGCGGACCTGAGACGAGCTAGGAGACAGCATGTTGTGGAGATGTTGCACCTGGCCAAGCGTCCGTTCGCCCAGATCTTCCTGGCATCGGGCAGCCTTGATGTGGATAGTCCGCAGCCGACCTCCTCCTCCTCCTCGGCCCGTGCCATGCGACAGCGTGCCCGGCAAGCGCTTCTCCTCCAGGAACAATCCGCTGGCGACTCCCAGCCAGTTATGCACCACTCGAGTCGTCGCCAATGCTCGCGCATCATGATGGTAGCCATCGAGCCAACCTTTGACAACTTGGCGGCTGTGGGAACGGTGTTCATTAGCTTGCCAGGTCGCTCTCGGGCACCATTAAGCATTGCCCTAGGTTCTACTCTCATTTCCTATTCTCGGCAATATCCCCTGAATGGTCGCCATTTTATGCGCGCTCAAAGGGGTCAAAATGTTGCGCATCATCCGGCTTAAAAAGGAATCTCTACAGCACGAACAAACTAGTTGTTAGTCAATGTCTAAAAGCCGAACCCACTTTAGTATCTGTGCATGTATGTATGTGTGAAGTACATAGAGACATTCTTTTAGATATCGGTGTATATGAATAGAAATTAGTGTAGGTAATTTTTGTACATAACGTTTAGATAACGCAAATAATTATTACTATGTGTACATAAATATGCAACAAAAATTGTGTTAAACGATATCTTGTGCTCGCACAAAGCATCTATATTTATAATTCATACTTATGAAAAGATAAACATACAGGAAATGGATAAATGTTAAATTTTAAGCACTATTATAAAGGAATATTGGGTCTCGAATATGCAACAGGATACAGAAAAGCATTCACATATTTTAAACACAGAACAAATTTTCGGACTGATTTATATGAAATTTCATTTGGCTAATACGTAGTTTAAAGATAATTTATTATAACTAAAAATGTAACGATCTGAAAAGTTACCAAGTGAAAAGTAATGGAACTTAATGGTACACATACAGCAGAGGGAATTTGATACACAGTAAAGTACTTTTAAGAATGTCAATTTTTTCGCAAAACGGAATGACGCACAAGAACAGGTAGAAGCCATATGAAAAACAAAGAAATCAAGATATACGTATTATAGAATACTGAAAGTGTCATAGCAATTAGACATTTATAATTCCGAACTAAAGTGGATGTCATTCTCTTTCGCTCAAATAGGTTTCTTTTAGATATACGATATAATTTTTTATTCTCGCGTACCTAGTATATATTTATGAAGTATTATGATATTCCTTCCCTGTTGGTGGCTAGCATTTGCTCAATTAGTTCTTTAGCTCTCTACTGCGCACTCTTACGCACCGGTGTACCTACTATTTTAAGAACAAGAAACTATTTTTATGTACAATCCAGTTTTTTACACACTTGTTATGTTTACACAAAAGCTCACAGACACAAACACGGCTGGAAATATTTCAATGATTTCTAAGATAAATTATTTCGAAAATTATCCAGCTACACATCACAAAAGAACAAAATCCTACAGAATCTTTCCTAACACGTAACACTAATCGCAGAAAGCAAAAGGTTGTAAAGATTCTTACTACATCGTTTTAGTTTAGAATTCCCTCCTTACATGTGGTACTATTTTTGTATATTTGAGTTAACAAAATTAGCTAAATTTTTAGAACTGATGTATATTTAAAACAATTATAAAAAAATCGTCCCATTTTGCAATATATTTATACATTTTATTTTATATTATTTGTAATTGTTTTTTGCAATAAAAGTAAACCTATGGTATATAAAGTTTATAAACTATTGACTTTGAATTTAATTCCGACCCAATAAAACAAGCTGAAGCTATTTAAATTCATTGTGCAAACGAAAAATTTATTGATTAAATATTTTAATGTGATAAATATATATTTATGCTGTATGTTTATATATAAGCAAGCCATTGCTTCGAATTCTACGGTTTAGTTGGTTGAATCAACGATTGTATTTTAACTAGAGCTTGTGGTAGAAGGCAGGGCTGCGAGGATTTCTTCGATAAAGCTGTCCGGCTGCTCGATGAGATGCAGAAGACCTAAAATATTAAAAATATAATTAATCAACGAAAATAATAAAAGCTGTGACACCTACCTGCTACATCGCAGAACTCTCCAAAGGAAGTGCACGGCAGGAATTCATCCGTTAAGGTCTGCAGGATACTATCCGTGGATTTCAGCAAAGCCTCATCGTTCTTTCGAAGGTAATCGAACAGGGAAATCGGCCAATCCTCCTCCTTAGGCGTGTTTACCGTCTTGAACAGGTTGTTGTAGATCAAGTCCACCAACGCCCACATCATAAGGAAGGGTTTATACACACTGTACTCCTTCGACTGCCGATCCGCAGGTGCCAACAAGGCCTTGCACAACACCGAGGGTGAGATGTGCCGGGCCTGGGCCACTGCTAGCATCCTCTTCAGATGCGCCAACTTATGCTTGTTCCACAGCTCTCGACTATGCAGTGACAGTGAAATGGTTGCCATATACAGCGGACCATCCACCTCGTAACCGCATTCCAGCCACTTCTCGCTGGGTGCTGCCTGTAAATATGTAAGCAGAGTCTTGCTGTCCCTGGCGGCAGATCGGGAGGAAAGCAGTAGATAGACGGAGTAAAAGAGCAGGTAGGGTACAAAGTGCATGTTCGACTGCGGACCGCCTCCGCCGGCGTCGTCGTGGAAACTGCGTTCCCAGGCAAATCGCACCAACAGAAGCTTCAAGTCATGCACGCTGTTTGTATAGGATATATCACATCGCTGGGTGCTCTCCTGCATATAGCTGCTGTGGCGAGTCATGCAGGCGGAAAAGGCCACCTCTGCAACGGCGGGACCCCAAAGAGGCAGCAACCCATTGCATCTAGTGTTAGCATTCTGCAAACTAGCCCGCTCCCATTCATCTCTTCCTCGCGTCAATCTTATGGCTGATGTGTGGCAGTCTACGTGAACCACATTGAAGTGGGTTACTGTTGTGTATCCGATTGTCTTCCTCGACTTGAGCTCGAATTCCTCGACATTGCAGCGCTTAGTGAACGTGTAGATGCCCAACACCTTGTCTGGCTGGCAGGCGTAGCCCTCGCGACAGATGAAGCACGTCAGGCCCGTTTCGTCTCTCAGTTTTTCGATCTTCTGAAGGATCGAACCCTTGGCAGTCACCTGGCCCTTCTCATTCGTGCGCATTCCCAAAGCGTCAAGTTGCTTTTCTCGCGTGGCCATAGCCAGCCGCTTCTTCTCTGCCCGTGTGAAATCCCGCACTTGTTGCACCCTCGCTGCTGTCGCCGAATCTGTAGAAAGCGCTTCCAAAAGGTTTTCCGCCAAACTGCCCACGTGCTCATCACTGGATACTTGCTCCAGGCGGTGAATGATGGGTATAATGTCCTTGCTGATGGCGACCTGGGTGGCCTCATGATGATTTGAGAGTCCGGTGAGGAAGCGAAGTATGTACTTTAAGCTCGGCCGCGAGATGAATTCTTTAAGCTCATCAGAGTCGGTTCGCAAGAGAGTGGGTTTGACACAAGGTGCATGCTCGGTGATGTAAGCTAGCGATCGCTCCACGATGCCCAGACTAACTATGTAATCCTTAAGAGTTCCACCAATGCAGTTGTGCTCGATTTGGTTAGTCAGCACGCAGAAGAGTTCCAGTTTAAACTCTTCTTCAGGTGTGCGCTCGTTGTCAAAACGTTTAAAACTCAAAGTGTCCTGAAAGTGGAAATATTGTTTTAATATAACCCCTTAAGATATTTGTATATAATCTTCTTTACAAGAAAATGTACAACAAAAATTTCGATTGCTTACCTTAAAATGCTCGCAAAGAAGAGCCATTTTTACTTCATTGCCGTAGACCAACGCAGCCAAGACACGAATAAGATGGCGCAGCACAGAGGGATTGTTTCTAACGTTCGGACAGTCAGTGCACGATATCAAGGCACTTACATACTCCGGTCCACCAAATGTCAGCGAAAACTGCAGGAAGGAATCCAAAGTATCGCTGGCTGCTTTCGAGAGAATGGTCTCCATGATCTCTAGTAACTGCTCGGTGACCGCAGACTGAATCGAATCGTTCTCCGACTGTAGACACATTTGCAGCACCTTCAGCAACGTGTTGATAGCCCCAATTTCGGGCTGACAGAGAACTTCTTGGCAACGGCGCACTTTCACGCAAATCAAGAATAGCTTAAGCAGCACCTGGATAAGCTCTCGGTTGCGCGAGATGCGCTGCAGACTTCCAATTCTGTCCAACATTACGCGGAGTCCGTTGCAATCAGCCAGTACGTTGGCCATGCGATAGAGCTGTTCAGTGTCCACTTGCTCCTGGCTTTTATTGTTCAGCGTTTCCACAAACTCCTCGGTGGCGTCTCCCAGAAGACCGCGCATGCGATAAACGATCCTCATTGCATCTCGATCACCTCCTTCAGCTAACCAAACTTTTTTGTACACATCCTTAACGGGCAAATCGAGACTAATGATTTTGTTATTCACCAGCAGTTCCATGCCGTTATCGTCTTCCAATAGGGCAATTAGTTCGCAATCGGTGCAGATCTTATTTTTGACATCCCGCATTAGTGGACCCAACCCCATTTCACTGGAAGGATAAGGATTACCCAGCATGCGGCCCTGCAGAAAGTCCTCTTGCTGAGGATCCTTTTCCAACGTCATATAGAACTCGCTTTCGTCGTGCTCCTCAGGGTGTATAATGGAATATAACCGCTCGAATATGAACACCGGTGTTTTGATGTCATTCATGCGCGTCTTTTCTACTGTGTCGATGAGAATTTCCATGAAGGCACGAGTCTCCTCCTCGGTACCGCTGGTCATGTCCTCTAGCATCTCGAGCAACTTCTCCTGGGCGTCGTCAATAAGCCGCGTTCGCTGCACCACTAAACTTCTCAGAGCAAGATAGCTTTCTAAAACGGGACCTAGCATGCGGGTCTTGTACGTCCTGCGGATGTTTGGACACTCGAGGAGTAACCACAACAGCTCCACATACTGCCGCAGAGCATAGCCCAAGGACAAATCTGAGGAGAGCGAGTGCTCCTCCATTCGATGCACCTTGCTTATTTCAATAGCCAAAAGCTGTGAGATTTGGCTAAGTACTCCTTTTAGCACTAAATACTGCAGCCAGGGTTGCTCCGTAGCCATGCTCTTATACAACATTAAGTACTCTGCACTGGCCTCGCCTGCTTCACCCACATGCTTCAAGAAGGACGTAAGCATGTTCAGGGCTTGCTGCCTCCGTTCGTTGGTCCTGCTCAAGCTGCTTAGCAAGGAACACGCCAGTTGGCGGCCGAATCTAGAGTTTGCATTAAATAGCAATGGCTGGATCCACTTAGCGTTGAAAACCAGAGGCTTAATCAATCGCTGCTTGTCCAGTACCCGCTCCCTCCAGCGCTTCCCGTACTTTTCGCTTAGAAAGGCGACCCGCACTTCACGTCTGGTCCTCGGAGCGGCTTCTGTTGTAGCTGATCCGCCTGTTCCCGAGGCTGGTCCAATCTGCTCCTTGGTGTTCTTATGCTTGCCCTGACTATTGCTGGGCATCCGGCTGCTCCATGCAGCGTACTCATGATTGCGATCTGAGTTGAGCCAAGCCCTGTAGTCGACCGTGTTGCCTTCAAGCAGCTTCATACTGCACAGGTCCGTAGTGGCTACCTTCTGATTGGGCTTGCTGCTTGGCAGCACCGGACAGATGAGATTCTGCATGATGCGCAGGCATGGATGCAGCACTGAAGTCACCGGACCGTGAGGCAACCTAAGACAGAAAATAACAAGTAAATTAACTTAATCTTGTTAATTTTTTTTTTGGAAATCAAAGAAGCCAAATGTACCTGCAGTTGCTAATAAATAGCTCAAAGATGACCTTCAACTTGTATTCCCAGCAGACATCGTCCTGTCCCAAAAGGACTTCCAGCAGTGTCATCTCCTGGTGCACAGCTGCTTCTAGACTTATCAGAGGTATTGATCCCATTAGCGCATTTTTTACCCTTGTGGTGACCAGCTGCAGTAAGTGCATGCATGCCTCGGCATTATCTTTTGTCAGCACAACCAGAAGGTTGCGGACTTCTTCTTGAATCTGCGGAGTGCCCCGCCGCAAGTTGTGCTCGGCTAGTTCACTTACGAGTCCCTGACTATACAAGCCAACGCGACAATCGTAGTTGTAGGCCATGGCTCGGAGAAGCGTTAGACACTGCTCGGTGGAAGCCAGGGCACAACCGTAGCAGCGGTTTGTGGTGGGATTCTCAGACGTCGAGCCTGGATTGACTGGCGGCTGGTCCTGCTGTTGACGATCGTAGGCCACGAGTTCGCTGGAAAGTAAATTTAAATAATATACAATATAAGTAGGGACATCCAGTCAAGTAAAAAATATATATAAATCTTCCTAAGGAAGAGGTCTACAGGTTGGGACCCCTTTTGCCCTTATGTACCTTTATAAAGGTTGAACTTTTATTTATCTTGAAACTAGGGACACTTTTAAAATTCAATAAAACTCGCCAAAAAAGTATTCCAAACTTTTAGAAACTATTCTTGTTCATTTAATCATCTTTATATAGTTTTAACTTGTTTTCTGACCTTTGTTAAGGTACGTTGACCAAATTATAATAAAAGGCTCGGGTACAGTGTCCACACACGGTCGTTTAAGGAAAAATAAATAATTTTTATTCTAACTATTAAATTTAAAAAAATCTTGGATATTGTTAGGAATTGATCAACTTATGTTTGTAACTCTAATAGAACTTAATTTAAGCACGGGTTAGATTTTATATATAATTTTGACAAAAAA